CCTCCCGTTCTCATAAGCGAACAAGTCAAGTGCTTCCGAGAACTCATTCAGCTGCAAGTCCCGCTCTCTTGAAAAGGGAGCACCTTCTGCAAGTCGTGGAAGCAGAGACTGACAGAGGGGTCGTCCATCTTGATCGAAATCATCCGAATCTCCGCAAAGGGAATCCGTGACGGAGGAGTCAGGTCTGGATCTGACCCTCAACGTCGACGAGGACAACGAGAGAGAGAAGAAGAGACAGAGGAGAAGGCAGATCCAGCAATCAGGGAAGGGGATGGCACTGCATTGACATGATATAATTGGAAGTGAGGGGTGGGTGACGGGGGCTTGCTGTGGCCGACGGAAGGTCGGCTGGAGCCAAACTCACTCGACAAACGACTGCTTGCCCTCAACGACTTGACGACAGCAGCATCCTGACGTAGCTCGCTTACGACCTCACTGAGTCTGGCCTTGATGTCGCGGACAAGATCCATTTCCTCGAACTTGGCTAGAATCCCATCTAGCATCGGCCGAACCGCATCACTGCCACCACTATTAATCAAGGAAACCTTGCCCTGGAGTGTCGAAGAAGGGGAAAAAGATGATATGTGAGTTTGAATGAGATGATATGGTGGCGTTTCAGACCAAGATGACATGAAAACAGCACTCACCGCCTGCAAACACGACCTGATGTGCAAATCCAACAACGTCCTGCGAAGAGTTTCAAGAGCAATCAGCTGGAGGTATTGGTCAGCGTACGCTGGGTCGTGCTTGAGGCAGCCGGGGTCAATGGCAGGAGATACGAGGCACCAATTTTCGTCGTGAGGGCCGTAACGGCACACAAACGTCCTTCCCACGAGCTCAAACAGACGGTCGTCGCACTGCAGGCTCTTCAGGCGAGTGCCATCTGTCCTTCCTGCTGTTCGCTGACCTCGCTCCCTCTCTGCCTTTTCAGGAAGCCTTTGATCTCCGAGTAGACCAAACAGGAACACGGCAACGACACCCTCGCCGTGTGCAGTAACGTGCAGTGGACGAAGGACCATGAGTTGGCGCCGGAGGAAGAGAAGAGCGATGTAAAAGAATCGATGGTCCGGAGTCGGAAGTGCATTGACAAAGGGACCGAAGACCAAGGTGAGCAAGAACAATGTGTCAAAGTTCCGGGTCCCATTTGCCGCATTGTTCATGTACGCTTTTACTCCCTCCCAGATTCGAATGTTCACTTCGCGTGCTGTCCTCGGACCACTCCCTGCAAGTGGGTGGAAGAACGGAATTGTCCGCTGGAAACCCTCGACCGTGACATCTTTGAACACATGGAAGGTCGATACACGTCCATGTATGGTCCGAATTGGATCGGCAATCTGGGCAAGGGCCAAGTCAAGCTGCGAACGAACGTCTGTGAGTCCAAAGGACGCCGCAAACCCGTCGGTTTCGTGGAGGTACAGTGTTTGGAGCTGATTCTGCAAATCTTGAACCCCCTGGTCGGTCGGAGCTAGTTGGGGAGGAGAAGCAAGGTGGGTGCTCAGACATCTGAGTCTTTTCACCAAAGCGCAACTCAATATGCTCTTAGCCAGCCTCTGTTTGAAACATACCTTGTTCTTTCACCAGCTCTCTAGTGTTCTCCAAACACTCAATCATGTACTCGGTTGAGTTGTCGATTGCTTCCAACACCTCTGGCCTCAACGCAACTCTTCGATAGAACCCACCAAAAGCCGAGTTCATGGCATCAGGATTGATGGCGAGTATCATTGCGTCTTCAATGTCTCCGAGAAACTCCAGTACAGGTTCCGGTCTATCTCCGCACCACTCGGGAATCTCAACTACGACCAATGTTCTGGCCATCATTCGTGCGAGCACCAGGTGAGTGGAACTGTCATCGTCAACGTTGTCTTCCTCGGAGTGGTTTTTGAGAACTTGCCCCACAATTCCCAGGAAGTTGGTGATTCGGACTCGAGACTCCGTGCTCGCCATGTCGTAAGCCATCCTCTCCAACCCATTGTATACTCGGGATATGCCAGCGTAACGAAAAGAAAAACTTTCGCTATCTTGTGGGACTGACAATACCATATCCTTTCCCATGTTCCCCACCTCACCAGCAACACCGTATGGGCCACCATCTTCGAGAATAAGTCCATCCACAAACCCTGCAACCTCTGTGGAGACGCCTTCGTCCGCCAGACGCATGGAATTTCGACGTTCTCTGTCCACCCCGATAGCGTCTGAGAGTGAAGCCATCGCAACAACAGCCCACGGGGAGTCCCCGGGTTTGGCTTGGATGTACATCTCCAACGCTTCCTCGGCCTCCTCGCGAGTCAAGCGCAACTCGCGCACATAGATTTGTGCATAGTTGGACATGCTTTTGATGGGGAACCGACAATTGGTGAGTTGCAGATTCAAATCCTTGCTGGATCTTGTGTGCAACTCACCCGACACTTGTCCCCATGTCACCGGCAGTAAAATCCCCCGCGCTCGGATCAATTTGAATGTCGTACCAATCCTCGAGGCTCTCTGGCACAGGAATCGGTGTCGGTGGGTCCGAGATGGCACTGGTGAGGTCACCGGCGAAGAAGGGTTTGGGACGCAGCTCAGCGCCCGCGTCGCGAACATCATCTTTGAGACGCAATGTGACACGCGGGATGTGTTGGACGGAGGATTTGGAACGCGAAGATGGCAGAACGAGGTGAGTGAGCAAGTGGTCGGCGATGCGGGTGAAGATGCAGGAGGTGATGGAGGGGGGTACAGGTATGGACGTGCCACGACGGTAGTACTGTACGCGGTGGTGGAGGACGCGCTGAAGGGCCTGAATTGCATCAGTCGATGAAGGGTTGTGATAATAGCTCTCCAGAACATTGGCCACCATTTCTCTGTCCGCTTCATAACGAGACAGGGATTCCTCTTCAAGTCCGCGCATGGCTTCAACTCGAAGAACCATCTTGGCGTGACGCTTCTTGGCGTGAAGTTTCTGGCGGTCTGTGGTGCGAGTCGCCGCGGTGCGAGCCTGACGAGCGAGGAAGGCTGCTTGGATGGGAGCAAGCGGTGCGGAGTGTTCCATTGCAACAACGAGTGAAATTACGGGCGGGCTATACGTGTGAGTGTTGGAGGAGGAGTGTTTCGAAATGGGCTTCGGTTTTTGCGAAAGGGATTCGGTGACAGGTCTCTGAGTGGTGGAGTCAGATTACCGTACAAGAGAATAGAAGAATCGAGTGGTTAGTGTATGTAGGAGAAAGACTGTATTCTGGTTAGTGTATGTAGGAGAAAGACTGTATTCCTATGATTCCGTGAGCAGATTCTCGTAGTGCGAAAAAATTTGCGCGGAAATCCCACATTTTGCCATGCGGAACGAGGATAACTCGGCACCCAGACGTTCCACGGCGTTCTCCCCACCGGTTTTCTATTCCAATTGGTCCATTCAATATTTTTTTCGGTGCTGAATCCTTCCCCAGATGTCCATTCTCTCAAATCAACAGGTTTCCAGTGTCCGATCCACCGTTCCTCCGCCAGTGAGGATCCTCATCGCTACTTGGAACCTGACAGGGGACACGCGAGGAGCAAGGGCGGAAGAGGACTGTATTCGAGAGGAAAGAGATACATACTCACTGGAATAGAGCAACGACAGACTGAACGTGTTTCGATTTCCGAAATTGGAGATATTATGAAGGTGCTTCTTGGTGCAGGGGTTTGTTGCCGCAAGATCAAAGGCTATCGATCCCGCCCTTACTGGCCCTTCCGCGTCGCGATTCCATTCCTGAGTGTGCTGAAGATCCAAACGAAAAAGATTTCGAGACGTTACTGTTCTGGTAAGTCCGCGTTCGCTTCTGTTTTCTCTTCCATACATTCATTATAGTTGATTGGACCGGTTGATGTGACGGACTCGTGGTATGGTCGGGAGGAAGGATCCGAGGATGGTTCTCCTCGGTCTATAACTGGCGTGTTCTGCGGAATTGTGGATGGAGAATCGCAGAATCCCATTACTAGACTATCTTGCATGTCCTATGCAACAATGAAGTGGTGGAAGGTGGAGTTCAGAACTACCGATGGTGATGTTGCAGGTGTACCAGACATGAAGAAATTGGAGGAAAACCCAGATTTGGGCGGGGATGTACAAGAGGAAACGTCTTTCCAACTTTTATATGTGCAGGAGGTTCTAATAAACTGTTTGGAATCACTCATTAGCTTCCTCCCCATCCATCCTGGCGAGATGATGAGGAGACTCCGGGATCACCCTGAACTCTCCTTCCATTACAACGTTTCAATATGCGTACTGTGAATAAAATGCTATTTGTACAGCAAATACATGTCATTTCTACTCTTTGAAACCACTCCCACCCCCATCTCCCGCTTCTGCACTTCTCCATCGCCCCATTCGCTCTTCTCACTCTCAACTGCTTTGCCCACCGAGAGAAAGAACTCACCTTCGCCTGTTGACTCCCTCAACTAGTATCGAAGACATGTTCTGGAGTTCCCGGTGACTGTGGAGGACATTCAGAAGTGTAGAACTGAATCGCCGTGTACGAAACCAGCCAACTCACTCGAACATGAAGCAAGCTGCGTAGACGCGTATCAATTTTATTTTCTCTTACGATGGATTGCACATTATCGGAGCCGTCTGAATCGGAGCAAGAGTGCCATCCATGGTTATGAACCCGTCCAACACGGTCCTCCTCCGGACCAAACCACGTGTCCATCAAATCAAACGGTCGAATCAGCTATTATGGACCAATGGAAGAGAAAACGCGAGCGAAAGTGCACTTACTTGTGCGATTCCGTTCTATTTGAAGTTCTGTCGAGCACATGATGGTACCTCCAAAGGGATTTGGGGAGATGGGAGGCCCGGGAACTAGAGGGGAATCGAGGAAAAATTCTGCATAAGAACGTGCGCGATGGTAATTGGACAGGGGATGAGTGGGAAAAAGATTTATTTATTTTCATGCTCTTGCGACAAAGGGGCCAACCTTTACTGAAACAGCTGTAATAAATACAAATTATTTATATCTATTAGTTAGGCTTGCGTTTTTAAGAAATATCGGTGCCTTATAGTATAGTGGTCAATACACTGGACTTTGAATCCAGTAACCTGAGTTCGAATCTCAGTAAGGCCTTACTTTTGTTTTTTTCAACTTTCAGTTTTCCTGCTGAAATGAATTTTTCTTTGACCTGAAGGACAAAAAACTAACTATTAGGGGATGTGCGCTACCCGTAATTACGAGTAAAAAATTACGAGTAGCACTTTGCCGTAAATTACGAGTACAGACATTTGTGTGCTTCTCGTAACTACGAGTAGACCATTATCCGCGAATCATTATGAAAATGAACCCATCCACGCAATACCTGGCCAACAATTCGTCAGATGAAGATGAAGCAGCTTAGGGTAATATAACCCGCCCCTTGTCCCCATCCACGTGTTCCTCTTCCTCGTACTTGCAATCCCCCCCTTTTACCTCCACGGCCATGACTCCAGCCCCTCCCACGCGCCACCACCCTGTTAGACTGTCCAGCATTGCCTGGGACTCCAAGAATTGCGCCGGCAAGGTCTGGGGGGGCTTGTGAGTTGCCGGACATGCTGCATAATTTGACACACCCGTCAGGGCAGAATCCAGCGCCAGCGGTTGCGGAAAAAGATTGAAATGTAACTTATGGTATCTTGGAAGTTCTGAGATGTGATGGTATGGCAGGATGGCTCTTGGTGAGCTGAGAAAATATGTATACGGGTAGCAGTTTTCTACTCGTTATTTTGAGATTCAGTTTTTACGAGTAAGTCATACAAAATATTGCACCTGTAATTTACGTGTAGCGCACATGCCCTAATATATCAATAGTTTGTATCTATTACAGCAGCTGGCCCCTTTGTCCCAAGAGCATGAAAATAAATCCATCTTTCTCCCACCCATTCCCTGTCCAATTACCATCGCGCACGTTCTTCTGCATATTTTTTCCTCGATTCCCCTCTAGTTCCCCAGCCTCCCATCTGCCCCAATCCCTTTGGTGGTACCGTCATGTCCTCGAGAGAACTTCAAATAGGACGGAATCCATTTCCATGGTTTGTATTCACACTGAGAATCAAAATCAAGGGAACTTTTACCCTTTTGTTCTACACGAGATTTCTGTGTTCTCGTTGAGTTCCCCTTAGGACACCTGCGTTATCTTTTAACAGATGTGCTGCCCCAGCCAAACTCCCCACCTGACAATGTCTTCAACCCAGATTAGCCCGCAAAGGATCTTAAAGCAAGAAAGTGGGTTACCCCAATTCTGCTTGATTGAATAAGTAGAAAAACGATGGGGGTAGTGGTATTTCACCGGCGCTGAAGCTCCCACTTATTCTACACCCCCCATGTTTTTTCACAATGTCAAACTAGAGTCAAGCTCAACAGGGTCTTCTTTCCCCGCTGATTTTGCCAAGCCCGTTCCCTTGGTGTGGTTTCGCTAGATAGTAGATAGGGACAGTGGGAATCTCGTTAATCCATACATGCGTGTCACTAATTAGATGACGACGCATTTGGCTACCTTACTTTTACACCTGGGAAACAATGAAGTCCTAAACAGCATGTATATGTGCAACAATAAAGTACAAGAGAAACTGCTATTTGAAGTCCGTGTCCCTTTCTACAAAAACTGGCTTTCGAGTAGTGCTTAATTTCGGAGATGTCTGGTGTAGTGGGGCTGTCACTACGTATCAGTCTCAGCCCTCTATGACGGGATGGTGGCCTAGTGATAGGCCTGGAGTATGAGATGATGTGAAGTGTGATCCTATTATGTTGTGGTAGTTGGGCCTTATATACATGTGCAAGGTGTCAATATCACAACACTTCCAGTGGTGGCAATACGAGTGATTGCAAAGCTGGATTGGTGTCGGGTGGAAGAGTGGCTACTATCCTCAGAGTCACAGAGTACTTGGTTGATTGCACCCGTTGCTGCCACTGCAGGAGGTGCTTCAACAGTGTCACTTCCACCTAACGGATTTGTGCGCATATTGAAAGACACCAAACCAGACAGCAAGGTGCAGAAACTCACCTTCATCATCATCCAGATCATCTTTGTTGTCAGTATCCTTGTCTGTTTCCTGAGGGTAATTTCCGCAGTACTCAACCAAATCCTCGTTCTCCTTCAGATCGGTCGCATTCTGAGCATGTGCCCCAGTCGCTGCAAATGACCCAAAGAGTCTGTCTGCTTCTTTGAATAGAGGCCGCCCATTCTCACGGAATACTAGGGCGTCCTTGTTGTGCTGCGGCGGGGGCGACGGTGCTGGTGGGTAGAATCACCACAACCGTGAGCTGCAAACTCACCTCAGCAAACTCTTGCCATGCTTCCAGTGTCATCGTCACTCTTGGTGGTGGCCCTGGGCTGAATCCGGCACTGCTTTGCTCCAGAGCCTTCACGAAAGTAGTGTGGATGCGTTTCAGCTGGCCATTCTTTCGCTTCAGTTGGCCTTTGTTCATCAAGCATCCCGTCCGCGAATTGAACTCTGCGATAATGATCTTCCATGTTGGTCCTTTCCACTTGCTCGCTGCTTGTTCCCTCTCGTGGGCAAGGAGTACCTTCAGTAGAGTCCTCTCCCTGTCTCCAGTCTTCCATGTAGCTTGCTCCACACTCAATTCCCCGACGTCTTCCTCCATCATTGAACCTGTATCATCTGTCGCTGGGGCCTTGCGTTTCTTGATGGGCTTTGATGCGCCTTCAGTGCTCTTCTTTGGGGGCATTCGATGATGGTGTAGAAAAACCGATTGAAAAATTGTCTCCAAGTCGATTTTTTGTGTGATTAGAAAAATCCGATTATTGTGGATGGCCATCTTTGTCGCCGAACACCACCAAAAACCGAAAATTCATGATAATCAATTATCCCCTAAAAAACTGGTTTTTACCCCGTGAAAAGCCATTGCCGAACAAGGCCTAAGACAGACTGACACCTTACGGCGCGCTACACAGGCTGTTCCAAGGATCACTCCCTGGGAGCTCCGCTCGGGATTGGCATAGACACCAGAGGCGTCCTGAGCTTTCCCCAAACCAGGTTGTCTTGCCATCGGTAACCTGCAGATGTTTACCGATTTGACTAGCGATTGGTCGAAGTTCAAATGAACATTGGTTAAGATTGCGTCGCTTTTGCCACCAGGTTCCCATGCATTGTTTTCTTAACTTTGTATGTTATTGAAGTTTAGTGGGTGAACAATCCAACTGTTGTGGCTCGCGGCGGAACCGCTGGGTTTCTGTCCCGAAACTCAATGTGTATGTCTGAACTCTCCTACAATGTGTCACTGAACGGTTACAGCTGAGCCGCCCACACAACTAAGATCACCAGAAAAAAATCTAAAAACTACTCTATACGCATCTATATACTAATAGATATCACATCTATCCAAGGAACAGGCGATGCAACCAGGGGTGACTCGTGGAGGTGAACGGGGAGGACTGCTGAAGTGCTCGCAGGGTCACGTGACTCCAGCTAAACACCCGCTTTTAGCCGTCGTCTCACAACACAACACTTTAAGAATTCTGCTTCTTAATGATAGGAGGAGCCGACATCGAAGGATCAAAAAGCAACGTCGCTATGAACACTTGGCTGCCACAAGCCAGTTATCCCTCGTAAGAGAAAATAAAATTGATACGCGTCTACGCAGCTTGCTTCATGTTCGAGTGAGTTGGCTGGTTTCATACGCGATTCAGTTCTGCACTTCTGAATGTCCTCCACAGTCACCGGGAACTCCAGAAAATGTCTTCGGTACTAGTTGAGGGAGTCAACAGGCGAAGGTGAGTTCTTTCTCTCAGTGGGCAAAGCAGTTGAGAGTGAGAAGAGCGAATGGGGAGATGGGGTGGGATTGGTTTCAAAGAGTAGAAATGATATGTATTTGCTGTACATATAGCATTTTATTCACAGTACGCATATTGAAACGTTGTAATGGAAGGAGAGTTCAGGGTGATCCAAGAGTCTCCTCATCATCTCGCCAGGATGGATGAGGAGGAAGCTAATGAGTGATTCCAAACAGTTTATTAGAACCTCCTGCACATACAAAAGTTGGAAAGACGTTTCCTCTTGTACATCCCCGCTCAAATCTGGGTTTTCCTCCAAGTTCCTCATGTCTGGTACACCTGCAACATCGCCATTGGTAGTTCTGAACTCCACCTTCCACCACTTCATTGTTGCATAGGACATGCAAGATATTCTAGTATTGGGATTCTGCGATTCTCCATCCACAATTCCGCAGAACACGCCAGTTATAGACCGAGGAGAACGTTCCTTCCGACCATATCACAAGTCCATCACATCAACCAGTCCAATCAACTATAATGAATGTATGGAAGAGAAAACGGAAGCGAACACAGACTTACCAGAATGGTAACGTCTCCAAATCTTTTTCGTTTGGATCATCAGCACACTCAGGAATGGAATCGCGACACAGAAGGGCCAGGAAGGGCGGGATCGATAGCCTGTGATCTTGCAGCAACAAACCCCTGCACCAAGAAGAACCTTGATATCTCCAATTTCGGAAATTGAAACACTTTCAGTCTGTCGTTGCTCTATTCCAGTGAGTATCTCTTTCCTCTCGAATACAGTCCTCTTCCGCCCTTGCTCCTTGCGTGTCCCCTGTCAGGTTCCAAGTAGCGATGAGGATCCTGGCGGAGGAACGTTGGATCGGACACTGGACACCTGTTGATTTGAGAGAATGGACACCTGGGGAAGGATTCAGCACTGAAAAGAAATACTGAATGGACCAATTAGAATAGAAAACCAGTGGGGAGAAAGCCGTGGAACGTCTGGGTGCCGAGTTATCCTTGTTCCGCATAGGAAAATGTGGGAATTTCCGCCAAATTTTTTTGCACTACGAGAATCTGCTCATGGAATCATAGGAATACAGTCTTTCTCCTACATACACTAACCACTCGATTCTTCTATTCTCTGTACGGTAATCTGACTCCACCACTCAGAGACCTGCCGAATCCCTTTTGCAAAACCAAAGCCCATTTCGAAACACTCCTCCAACACTCACAGCCACCCGTAGTTTCACTCGTTGTTGCAATGGAACACTCCGCACTGCTTGCTCCCATCCAAGCAGCCTTCCTCGCTCGTCAGGCTCGCACCACAGACCACCAGAAACTTCACGCCAAGATG